CCGTGACTGACTATGCTCCGGACTACTAAGTCCGCCGCGTGTGCGCTGGGGAAGACGATGTCCACACTTGTGGTCCAGGAACGCCACCTCTGGCTAAACCTGGCTGATATGCGCGATGCTGACGCCCAGGAGTTCAAGACGGTGAAGGAGCAGTCGGATGCGATGGGCAATGTCATCTGTCGGCGGGACCGTAAGCCCGCTCCGTCCCCTGCCGAGCCATCCACCTCCGCTGCTCCTCGCCGTGGGACCATCGAGCACGCAGGAAGCCGGCAGCCCCTCCTGCCCAGGGCGCCGCTAAGTCCGGTAAACGGACCGCGAAGCGTCCCTGAGATAGGCCATCCGGAGAGGAGGAAATTTGCTCTTTCCCTGCTGGAGGGCGGGGCCCATATCCCAACGTTACTTTTCAGTGCCACCAAAAATTTGAACAAAGAGCACTTTTCCCCTTCCCCGGATGTCACAGCTCAAGCCCTGCCAGTCTGGGACGCGATGCCTCTCAACTCGCAGGGTCTGCATGCTCCGCCAGCGGCTCACGGGCGCTGGGGGGACGGTCTCCCTCCTCCCAGCCCCCAAGCCCCCTCTCCGGAGTCAGGGTGCGGAGCCAGAGAGAATCGCTCTCCTCCAGCTCTTCTGTGGGACCCTCGCGCTCCCTGGATCAGCACACCCGCTCCGCGCTGCCCCTCCGTGGGTACGTCAGCGATTGCTGCGATGACATCATTAGCGAGGGCTCTGCCTGCCTGGTTAGCGCGAGCCAGCTCCTCGCGGTGGCTCATACGCATGATCAGACTCGGCTACAAGCTTCAGTTTTCGAAACGGCCTCCCAAGTTCACGGGTGTATATTTCACCAGGGTCAATCCCCTGTCTGCCCCTGTCTTGCGAGAGGAGATTGCTGCCCTCCTGGCAAAGGGTGCAATCGAGCCGGTACCTCCAGCCGAGATGGAGAGCGGGTTTTACAGCCCGTACTTCATCGTACCCAAAAAGAGCGGTGGGTCACGGCCAATCCTAGATCTGCGCGTTTTGAACTTCTGCCTTCGCAAGCTGCCGTTCAGAATGCTTACACAGAAGCGCATCCTCCGATGTGTTCGTCCTCAGGATTGGTTTGCAGCCATAGACCTGAAGGATGCGTATTTTCATGTCTCCATTCTTTCACACCATCGTCAGTTTCTGCGGTTTGCGTTCGAAGGTCGAGCATGGCAGTACAGGTCCTCTCCTTCGGGCTCTCTCTGTCTCTGCGGGTCTTCACCAAACTCGCGGAGGGTGCCCTAGCGCCCCTTCGGCTCGCGGGCATCTGCATACTCAATTATCTCGACGATTGGCTGATTTTAGCCCACTAGCGGGAGCAATTGATTGCGCACAGAGACGAGGTGCTCCGGCATCTCCGCCTATTGGGATTGCAGGTTAACTGGGAAAAGAGCAAACTCGCCCCGGTGCAGAGGATCTCTTTTCTCGGGATGGGGCTGGACTCGGTCACCATGGTAGCGCGCCTCTTCGGAGAGCGTGCTCGCCTGTTGCTAAACTGTCTGAGGGAGCTTGACAGCAAATTAGTGGTCCCACTGAAATATTTTCAGAGGCTCCTGGGGCATATGGCATCCGCTGCTGCTGTTACGCTGCTCGGACTGCTCCATATGAGACCACTTCAGCACTGGCTTAAAGATCGAGTTCCAAGACGCGCATGGCATGCGGGTGCACACCGAGTCTCTGTTACTGCGCTGTGTCGCCGCACCCTCAACCCCTGGAACGACCCCTCGTTCCTGCAGGCCGGTGTACCTCTGGGACAGGTGTCCAGTCATGTTGTTGTCTCAACAGATGCTTCCAGCACAGGCTGGGGGGCCGTGTGTCGCGGGCATGCAGCTGCGGGCCTGTGGGAAGGTGCCCAGCTGCATTGGCGTATCAATCGCCCTGAGCTGTTGGCAGTGTTCCTTGCTCTCCACCGTTTTTCTTCGGTGTTGGAGCAGCAACACGTGCTGGTCAGGACGGACAGTACGGCGGCGGCAGCGTATATCAACCGCATGGGGAGTATGCGCTCTCGCCTCATGTTTCAGCTCGCCCGCCGTCTGCTCCTCTGGAGTCACCCGCGGCTGTAGTCGCTGCACGCCATTCACATCCCAGGTTTGCTCAACTATGCAGCCGATGCGCTCTCACGGCAGCAGATTCACTCTGGAGAATGAAGACTCCACCCCGAGTCTGTTCAGCTGATATGGGCGCGATTCGGGGAGGCCCAGATCGATCTGTTTGCTTCCCCCGAGATCGCTATTTGCCAGTTGTTTTATTCCCTGACCGAGGGCTCTCTCGGCACTGATGCACTGGCCCACAGCTGGCCTCGGGGCATACGCAAGTATGCGTTTCCCCCAGTGAGCCTGATCGCGCAGTTACTGTGCAGGGTCAAGGAGGACGAGGAACAGGTTCTGCTAGTTGCGCCCCTTTGGCCCAACCGGACCTGGATATCAGAGCTCTCACTCCTCGCAACGGCCCTCCCCTGGCAGATCCCTTTGAGAGAGAACCTACTTTCTCAGGGACAAGGCACCATCTGGCAATCTCGCCCCAATCTCTGGAACCTCCACGTGTGGTCCCTAGACGCGAGGAAGACTTAGGTAACCTGCCATCCGCGGTGGTTGATACCATTACTCAGGCTAGAGCCCCCTCCACGAGGCGCGCCTACGCCCTGAAGTGGAGTCTATTTACTGAATGGTGTGTCTCTCGCAGTGAAGACCCCCGATCTTGCCAGATCAGTGTTGTGCTCTCTTTCCTTCAAGAGAAGCTGGATAGCAGGCTGTCGCCCTCCACTCTCAAGGTTTACGTTGCCGCCATCTCCGCTCACCATGACGCGGTGGCTGGCGGCACCGTGGGAAAGCATAACCTCATCATCCGGTTCCTCAGAGGCGCTAGGCGAATTAATCCAACTCCTCCCCCCTCTCATGCCCTCTTGGGATCTCGCCCTCGTCCTCACGAGCCTGCAATTTGATCTCTTCGAGCCACTCGATTCAGTATCCTTAAGATTTCTGTCCCTGAAGACAGCTCTGCTGGTCGCGTTGGCCTCCATTAAGAGGGTCGTGAACCTGGAGGCATTTTTGGTCAGTGACTCGTGCCTGGAATTCGGGCCGGATTTTTCTCACATTATCCTGAGACCCCGCCCGGGTTATGTGCTCAAAGTTCCTACCACTCCCTTTAGAGATCAGGTAGTAACCCTGCAAGCGCTGCCCCCGGAGAAGGCAGACCCAGCCCTTTCCTTACTCTGTCCAGTTCGCGCCCTGCGCATTTATGTGGACCGTACTCAGTACTTTAGATCTTCTGAGCAGCTCTTTGTCTCTTATGGTGGATGGCAGCAGGGAAGTGCCGTGTCCAAACAAAGATTATCCCACTGGATTGTGGAGGCCATTTCATGTGCTTATTTGAGCAGAGGTCAGCCGCGTCCCCCGGGAGTGCGTGCGCACTCCACTCGGAGCGTTGCACCCTCTTGAGCGTGTGCACGCGGCGCCTCTTTAACAGACATTTGTAGAGCTGCGGGTTGGGCGATACCCAACACATTTGCAAGGTTTTACAATCTGCGAGTGGAGCCGGTTTCCTCAAGGGTATTAGGTAACCCTTGGTGATAGAGGAAACAACTGGGTGGGGTGTTGTAGCACGCTTGCGGTGCCTTTTTTCCCCTAACACGGAGAGAGGTGCACCTTTCTGTCTGTCAGTAAAGTTCCCCATTCGGTGAGCCCTGCAGATTCCTCCGAGGCCCCCAGCACTGACTCAGCGGAGGAGTCACTCGCTGGCCCACTACGTTAGGTCTGCCCGCTGGTCAGCCCGTGTTTTTGGGTACAGGTGCCTGCTATGTGTGATCCCCTCTGGCGATCCCATATGCTTATTTCCGCCACAGTTAAGTTCCCCCCCCTGGGTGGACCTGTGCCTTCCGCTAACCACCTTCTTATGCGCACTCCCCATCCTTAGGGTTTGTCCATATGTAATTCCATTTTGTCTCCCTATTGGGTGCGGATGGTCTCCGCAGCGTCCTCCCTACCGGGATTGCACGCTTCCCAACGTACTGTTGTATTTCCTAGAATTATCTAGACGCTAGCGATTCCTAAAAAAATATACCTATTCCATAAAGCTTCTTTGAAGTGGGGATAAATTAGGGCCAAGGGCACGTTGGAGGACCGCGTCTCCCATGATTTGGGTACGCCACGCTTGCCTGACAGCCCTCTCATCAGAGGCGTTGGTAAGGTGCGGTCATTATGGCACTTTCAATGGCTCCCATACGTGGATTTAGAACATCAAATCCACTTATAGCACTGGAGTTCCCCAACCGAAGGGGAACGTTCAAGGTTACTAAAGTAACCCCCGAGGAGGGGAACGAAGATGCTATTCTCCGTCGCCATAATGACTGTCCCTTAGCTGTTTAAAAGTCTCTTCAGCTTAAAAAGGAAGGCGTTTGCTGGCGCCAGGTGTGCTTATATGCTCAGTTAATTGGCAATGAAGCACACCTGCGCAAGCTTACGCTGCCAATTCATTGCTTTCATTGGCCCGTTCAATACTCTTTCAGACAAGCGGCTTCTGAACCGAATCTCCCATACGTGAATTTAGAACATCAAATCCACTTATAGCACTTCCGTTCCCGTCCTCGGGGAACGAAGGGTTACTTCTGTAACCTCGAACGTTGTTTATGTTTATTGCCATTATTTTTAAATAAATTCATTTAGCAGGCAGTTTTATTTAACACCAATTTAAAAATAGAGCTATTTACAAATACAAAATAGATTTTAATTATTGATTTTTTTTAGCTAGTGTTATGAGAGTTTCATCAGCCAGTGGTTGTTTCAGTGTCAGTGTCTTGAATTTGATGTGAGCAGTAATTTGAGATAGGGCTGAGCTAATAAATTATATCATACTGAATTGCAATAAAATGTATTTAGATAATAATGATTAGCTCCAGACATTTTTACTCAATATTAAGTCAATCACATAGAGCAATATGCGACAGCTATGGCTGTGACGGTAACTGATTGTTTGTTATTGCCATGATGAAGCAAGAAATCAAGCAGTATGTTGTTTAACCGCAAATATATAAACACATACATAGGCCCATATATAAGGCATATTAACATTTACTCAATGATCAATTGATTGTCGGTAACCCTTTCAATCGATGGACCTTATCAATGACCGTTTAATCGTGGACATTTAAAGAATAAGTTATGCTTTGTGCTGTGACACACGCTTTACTTATTAAAATAATGATCAAGTGTGTTCACATTACCATATGTCGTCACTCTTTTGATATTTGGGATGCATAAAACCCTGTTATGCACAGATCTTGGTTATATCTGCCGGTGCTCCCAACTATTAATAGATCTCGGTTATATCCGCTTGTGCAGTCGTTAATACAAAATCAGGTAATCAAAAAGGCTACAATGATGTTTAATTATGGGTGGGTTGCACATAGATAAGATCAATCATTGATAATGCAAACTTTTAACTACTTTGTCTACGGCAACCATAAAAACAGTTTAATCTAGGCTGTTATTTTATTTTACAAGTAACAAAAATAGATTATTTGAAACTGAATATTTCACTTTTTTTGTTTATAATGTTAAATTAACCATTTTGTGTTTTACCTGCAGACCCTGGGGTACTTGACTTCACCTCAAATTTTTGTTCTTCTTGTTTATTTTCTAGATAACTGATTAACAAAAAACAGGGGAAGCTGAACTAACACCCATTGAGGAGAGAGTTGCCTCAATTGTGGGTGACACTTTACTGTCTGGAGTAGTATCCATGTCTGTGGGAGACACAGATGTATTAGAGCAGTGGTTCTCAAACTGTGGTACGCGGGCGTCCTCCTAGTGGTACGTGGAGGAATCGCCAAATAATAAAAGAAACAATTAAAACTTTTAATCCTTTGATGCGTACTGTAACATCGATGTGATCAGCATTGGCTGTTTTCTGAAGTGTACGATCACAGCGCTGTGCTTAGAATGTTTATTTTAGTGCACTGTGTCATAAGCGGCTGAAAATCAGTTTCCGAAGTTTAAGTATTGATTCTGTGATTCGACTGATGTGAAAAGTGACCAATCACAGTCGACCTTGTCTAGTTTTGAAAGAAACGTAAGGGCGGGACAAAGGCTTTCTGTGTTGCAGAGACAGAAAAAAACTACTTAAAAACAAATGTTTTGTTGGAATAGCGCTTGTGGGATGTTTTCACTACAGAGATGTCTAGCAGAGTAATTAAAACGCGGACATATTTTCTGCCTATTTGAAGATCTGCATACACGTTTCACTCTCAGACAGCGAGTCGACTCGCCTCTGACCTGTCACTCTCCTCTAAATACATTCTGAATGGCGGCGCCGGAATGGAAGTATTGCGCAATTATTCATATCTGCAAATGTGGCGAGTGCTTTATTTTAACATGAGAGCTCATTTATGTACATCAATCGCTAAAACAGATATGCGAGCTCTTAAATGGGCTTTTTTCAAATGAACTGCAAGTACTCTCATCATCGCGTGTGTGCTCAGATTGAATACAATCGCGATCTGTTCACTATTAAAATAGAAATTATTTATCTTTGCTCCTTGACAAAATTTTGTCACAAACTATGAAGTATTTAGAATTAGATTGATGCATGATCGATAACAATGCTAATGGTCTTCTTATTTGGCTGTATTGTGAAGTGAAACTTACTTTTAGCAAAGGTGGAACTTTTTTAATTTCTATACGACAAAAGAATTATGCTGGAAATGTTTCTGGATGAGGTATTTGTGTGATTTATACATTTAGCTGTATTCATATCTGTCTTAAAGCATTACAGGTCAAAACAATCTGTTGTTACTTATTGTTTATTTAATAAAATTAACAATAAGGCTCTTAAAGCACTGCTTTGATAAATGTAGTGTTGTCATGTTTCAAATACCTCAAGTAAAATGAAGTCATTTGTTTTATTATTATTAATCATTGAAGTCATTTGTTTTATTATATTATTATTATTTATTTTTTATTTTTTTTGCTGACAGTGTACTTGTATTTTTTGTAAAGTTTGTATTTAAGTTTAAGATCAAGTGTAAAATAAAATTTACATGTGATGTACAGCTATTTATGAAACAAATTTGCCATATTGTAAAGACAAATAGTGTAAAATATGTAAATAAAAGGCTAAATTTTATTCTTTTCATCATATACTTTAATTATACCTTTCAAAGCTTGAAAATATTGTTTAAAAAAGGGACAAAAAGTGTCTCTGTGGCCTTAAAGTTCATGTGGTAGTTTTACCAGTGCTATTTAAAAAAATTAATTGTCATGAAAGGAAAAATCAACCACACTTCCTTTGTTAGTGCAAAAAAAGTGAATTTTTTTAACGCATTAATTATTTCAAATTAATCGCATGCGTTAACACGTTAATTTTGACAGCACTAATTTTTAAACAATGTTTATAGAAAATAAAAGAAGGCAAATCAAATGTATTATATATATCAAGCTCTTGTTCTCTCCAGACTGGATTATTGCAGCTCTCTACTAGCCGGGGTAACTCTATCAAACCTCTTCAAATCCTTCAGAATGTAGCAGCACGAGTGGTCTTTAATGAAACTAAAAGAGCACATGTCACTCCGCTGCTCATCCGCGATTTCTGGCTTTGCTCTTCTTATCTGCTCTCACTTCTGCAGATGTATGTGCCTCCAGAAACTTGTGTTCTGTGAATAAACGTTGCCTCATGGTTCCATCCCAAAGAGGGAAGAAAACGCTTTCCAGAACTCTCGCGCTCAATCTGCCCAGTTGGTGGAATGAACTCCCTAACTGCATCAGAATGGCAGAGTCACTCGCTGTCTTCAAGAAACCACTAAAAACTCAACTATTTAGTCTCCACTTTTCTTACAAATATGCAATTCCCTCTCTGACTCCTCCACTAACTACAAAAAATGAATAATAATAAATAAAAATCCTAATGCTTTGCTTCTTACATTGTCCTTAAACACCTGAAACCTTGCCTACAGCCAGTGGCGTAGCGCAAAATGCGGAGGCCCCCCTGCAGGGATCGCTGACGGGGCCCCCTGATGAAGAGGGGGGGGGATACGTCATAGGTCAATTTGCATATCACTGACGTCATCACGTTTACCGTTTCTGTTTGTTTAACAGCCTCTGGTTAATAAAGGGGTATTTATAATTGCACTACACTTTATATTAGCATGTTTATTTAACTAAATGTATTGCTGTTTGAATACAGCAGGGCCGGAGTGGGATGACACTAATGACACTATCACGTATTTTTTTTCAAAAAACAGCTGCTTTAGAACTTCAAATGTTCAACAACCCAAACAGTATTATATGTCTTAACAATAAAAATGAAAAAAAAAAAAAAACTACTCAGACGAGGATCAAACCCAGGTCTGCAATGTCATAGCCTAACGCGCTAACCACTGGACCACAACAGCTGTGCAGTAAAGAGTGGCTCGTCTGAGTTATATCATCATTAACCAGGCTGCGAGAAAATAGATAAAAAGAGCAGAGCTTTGGTAAAATAATTAATAAGAAGACTGTGGTCAAGTAAAAAAAATAATTAATGTAAAAAGTGTGACTGCTGAGAGCAACAGATTCTGGAGCTAGGGACAACGGCCCTCGCGGCCAAAAAACGCACCGGCCCACCGGGAATTCTCCCGGTCCTCCCGATTAGCCAATCCGGGCCTGGAATACAGTATGCCATTATAGATGTGTAGTGAATGTGCAGAAATCTCTCATATGTAATAAACTCAGACAAGTTCAGAAACTGTCACTAAAATATCTTTGATTGTGAACAAGAAAAGAATAAACGCTCCAATTAAATTGTTAAAATAAAGGAGAAGCAGATCGGTTTGACTGTACAAGGGAAATACCTTCACACTGCCTGTGCTAAATCATTTGTCGTCGGTACGCAGAGGGGTGATCTGCTCTCGGCTGCAGGTGGGAGAGGCTGCTGTACGAGGACTGACTGGGCCGCCTGTCAGTGCTGTGAGGCGGGGGAGGGGCCGGCGGCATCACACGCAGCTCGTTGAGAAGAGTAGAGATGGTACAGTATGGACAAATGACAGTCTAAAAAAATCTCCAATAACACACAAAAAAGTCGCTAGATTTGTCGCTAGGGGGGTCTGAAAAGTCGCTAAATCTAGTGAAAAAAATGCTAAGTTGGCAACATTGGCGGCAAGCAATCAGAATGAAGTAGTCCACCGCTTGAGAGGTGTTCAGAGAACACAGACCTGTGAACTTTGGTTCCGACCACAGTTGTTCCCAAGAGTTTGATTATTTCGGTTGCCGGTGGATTTTCAATTATTGAAAATGGCGACAATGCGGGGCCCCCTAATCACGCGGGGCCCCCCCGCGGTGCGTGCCCTGCGGGCCCGTCCGCTACGCCACTGCTTACAGCACTTATTCAATGTTGCTCTTATAGTTGAGTAAATTGCTTCGTTGTCCTCGTTTGTAAGTCGCTTTGGATAAAAGCGCCTGATAAATTACTAAATGTAAATAAAAATGTAAATGTATGATGAGCGAAAGGCTTTGGTGCTGGCTAGACAGTACAAATTACAAATAGTGCAGATACAACGACAGTGCAAACTACAGAAAGTGCAAAATACAGACAGTGTAAATACAACGACAATGTAAAATTGACAGTGAAATGTGCAATGAATAGGTGTCCACATAGTTGTAGGCAGTGTTGTTTCAAGTATGGATTGGTTAAAGTGCAGTGCATGTTACTTATTGATGGTGTGCAGTGATGGGTATGGAAGAGTCTGTGTGTGGTGTGTTAAGTGTTCATCAGCCTGATAGCCTGAGGGAAGAAGCTTTCTTTAAGTCGGCTGGTGCCTGCTCGGAGGCTGTGGAACCGTCTGCCTGAGGGTAGCAGAGAGAAAAGTCTATGGCTTGGGTGGCTGGAGTCACTGATAATTTTCTTGGCTTTCCTCATGCACCGTCTGGTGTAAATGTCCTGGAGGGAGGGAAGCTCACCTCCTACAGAGCGTCCAGCATTTCGCACAATCCTATGTAGGCCTTTGTGATTGCTGCTGGTGCTGTTTCCATACCAGGTGGTGATACAGCCAGACAGGATGCTCTCCACAGTGCAGGTGTAGGAGGAGCAGAGGATGTGGGGGCTCATTCCAAACCTCCTGAGACACCTGAGGAAGAAGTGGCATTGTTGTGCCTCAGCACCGCGTCTGTGTGGGCAGTCCATGTCAAATCCTCAGCAATGTGGACTCCAAGAAACTTGAAAGAGCTGACTCTCTCCACTGGTGTCCTGTTGATGGTGAAGGGGGTGTGTTCTCTCTTCTCTCTCCTGAAATCCACCACCAGCTCCTTGGTTTTGCTGATGTTGAGTGAGAGGTGGTTTTCCTCACACCACTGCGTCAGAGTGTGCAACTCCTCTCTGTAGGCCGTCTCATCATTATCGGTGATTAGGCCCACCACCATTGTGTCATCAGCAAATTTAACAATGACGTTGGAGCTGTGTTTGGCTGTACAGTCATGTGTGTACAGATAATACAGGAGAGGGCTGAGAACACAGCCCTGTAGAGCACAAGTGTTGAGTATCAGTGTGGATGATGTAATATTGTTCATTCTGACCTCCTGGCTTCTGCCTGACAGGAAGTCCAGGATCCAGTTGCACAATGAGATGTGAAGACCGAGAGCCTGGAGCTTCAACAACAGCTTGGCAGGCACAATGGTGTTGAATGCTGAGCTGTAGTCCACAAACAGCATTCTCACATATGTGTTTTTATCAAGCGGCAACCTCCCGCTCTCCCTCCGAAAGCCAATACGGAAGTAACTAAAACTGCAATTCATCCGAAATTGTGCTAGTCGTGGCCGCTCCTGGCTCCAAAATAGAGCAAATTTCAATTGAGCCCATATATGTCATATTCAAAAACATTTCCCTAAAGCTTTCTTTCAGATGTTGTCACATAATAGTTGAAGTGGTTTTGAACTACATTTTGTAATATAATTCCCAGTATTTATCAAATGTGTGTGTTTTCTTCTGGCAGAGCTTATTATTCACTGCATGTGAGACCATTTGTTTGGGAGAGTTTGATTAAAAAGTACTAAAATTCAGATTTATCTGTTATCTTTAGTTCAAAAAATTATGTGTCTTTTCCACATGATGAACCTGCTATATCATTTATTTCTTTTTATTAGGTTCACTGATGTACAAACAGCGGAATCTGAATTTCTCCCATATGTTGCACCTGAGATTCTAAGTGGTCAACTGTATGATATGAAAAGGTAATACACTAGATCTTTATTGTTTAGTTTATGTATATATTTATTCCAATCATATCACTTAGCTGAGTTTAAAGCTATTTAAAGGGCCATGAAACCCCCTCGTTTCAGCAGGGTGTTTTCACACCTCTACTTTGGAAAAAGTCAGAAAAGTGGGCGTGTCCAGCTCTGTTTAGGGGGGAGTGTCGGAGGAACTAAAGTGGGATGTTGTGGGAGTGTCTATTTGGGCACGCGCGAGTTTCAGTCAAAATACACACACATGAGAAAGTGATGGTGTTTAACCTACATGGACATCTGTAGTCAAATTATTTGCCAAATTATTAAATGGTGGACTTTAACTGCAGTTTGGCTCTTTCATTCAGGGAATTCATTCATGCCCCTCGCGACAAACGAGATATTTGATTTGAGGATCTGCTCTAAGCGTGTATTTTTCATGCAATGTTTGATACCGCACGGCAAATGAGAGAAAAAACACTCTGCATTTCCCGGAAACTTAGATGCACACGGCAGGTAGCGTCAGAAAGCCGCGTGTGTTATTCCGGTCACAAAATGCGGTGCTATGTTTGCACCCAGTGCAATAGTTAATTTAATTCGATACGAACAAACTGAATAAACAAAGAGCACTGGTCGCTCACTTACCAAATCTGTAGAGACAGGACAATCACCAGCAACTAGAGCCGCGTCTTTATGAAGAGGAGACTAACGTTACAAGAGAATCCGGATTTCAGCGTTTGCAGATGAGAACAGCTCTCAGGTAAACAATGTTCCTCCTTAGACAGGTAAGTTATTGTTGTCGAGCGTCGCGTACACTGTTAATCCACACGTGATCCAGATGAACTCTCACAGAGAGAAAATGAAAACGAAACTTAATGGCAGCAAACTATAAAAGCAACACTTCACGCTTGTTTTGCCAACACAACGTGGCGTCTCTGTGGCGTAAACACGGTGACAGTAATGAATATTAATGAAGTTGCACAATAGAGCACGCTGATTGGTTTGAACCAAGCCTTACTCATGCATTAATGCATCACACTGTAAGACGTAATAAGACACACTCTGGCACAGACGTCCAGTCTGCACGCTGGAATACACGCTATTATGTCATGACCGTGACGCAGCTTCAAAAATTCGTTTCAAACAGGAAGTACGAATTTGCTTGAAATAACGCAAAAACAATCAATTTACACTTTTTAGTGAAATATAGGTGTCCTAATAGTGTTTTTAGCAGTGTGGGACACATATACGACTGTCAACAGCTCAAAACATGTGTTTTGGTGTTTCGTGACCCTTTAATGCATAGTGCTTGGCACATTTTCAAGCTAAAGAACCTAACTACAGCTGTCAGCTAAGGCACAACCAGGGTGGTTGAACCTTGCCACAGCGCTGGTAAGAGGTTTGCCAGGCTCCAGCGTGAGCGCACCATCATCAAGGCTGACCAGCAGTTGATACGAGTTAGTTGTTTTAACTCAAAGTGAGATCCATGTTTGTTTGTTTGTCATTTATTTAAAGTCCTACCAACTGCTTATTTTCATTAGTTCTAGTTTTCATCAAGAAACTCAGAAGAGATTATTAAAAAGATACTCAGGAGCTCTTATGAATATCTTCCTGTGAACTTCTCTGAGGATCTGCATGAGCTGATAAAAGACACCCTTCAGGTTAAGCCAGCGGACCGTCCGTCTGTCAGTGAGATCCTAAAGAGGCCTTTTATCATCAAACACCTTAACAAAATGGTAAGTCTGATTACTAATGTGTAGATCAGTGGTTCTCAATCCTAGTATTCACAACCCTCTGCTATGCATATTTTGCATGTCTTGCTCGTTTAAAACACCTAATTTAGATAGCCAGCTCAGTAAAAGAGAGCTACAAGAAGGAACCTTGTTTATGTTCCCTACTGCTGGCCTGTGCACATTGATTGAACTTGTTGGATTATTCATTTATTCACTTTCTTGTCAGCTTAGTCCCTTTATTAATAATTAATCCTGAAGAGTTATGTAAACATAACCATGAGATGTGCATAGTCACATCTTTACCACTTAAAATTGATTATGTTTCTTTCAAACTTAATCATGGCAGAATAACCTGTGATGATGACACTGCAGGACGCTTAAGGTTGAATGAAAAAAAAAAAAAAAACAGTTTTGTTTATCGGTAAAATAAACATGAAATGTGCAGAGCGCTGATTTAGATTATGAAGTTCAAAATTATGGCGACGTGGTGGCGCAGTGGGTAGCACGTTCACCTTACAGAAAAGAAGGTCGCTGGGTCAGTTGGCATTTCTATTTGGGTTTTCTTCGGGTGCTCCTGTTTCCCCCACAAGTTCAAATAAATGTGGTACAGGTGAATTGGGTATGTTAAAATTGACCATAGTGTGCACGTAAATGAGTCTGTATGGATGTTTCCTAGTGATGGGTTGCAGCTGGAAGGGCTATGCTAGATTAGTTGGCAGTTCATTTCACTGTGGCGACCCCAGATTAATAAAGGGACTAAGCCAAAAAGGAAATGAATGAATGAAAGAGTACAAAATTATTATTATTATTATTATTATTGTTTGTAAACGAGAGCATACGTTTTAGACACTAGCACTGATTTTACCAAATGCATGTTAATTTGATGTTTTTATTTTTTTTCAGAGCAAACAAACTATAGAAGAGCTTAATAAGTACTTCAACACAACAGTCGGCAGTCTTGCGGGAGGAGTGATAGGACTGGTTGGAGGAATCTTATCTGTGGTGGGACTTATTTTGACTCCATTCACACTCGGAGCATCTCTGATAGTGACAGGAGTGGGAGTCGGTGTAGCAACTGCTGGTGGAGTAACAGCTGGAGTGAGCAACGTGACAAAGATAGTTAATCAGCGTTCAAACCGGCAAAATGTCAAAATGCTAATAACAATGATACAAGAAAAAATTACGTCCACAAGTTGCTGCATCCAAAACATACAAATAGCAGTTGGCACTAAACTTAAAGAGTTTCCTGAAAGCGATCAACCACAGTCAAATGCACAGTCTGGGAAAAACAGTGATAAACAGACTTTGGCAAGTGGAGCTCGACTTGGACGAGGACTGGCAGGAATCTCAGAGCTTGCCCGTTTAGTTGAAGTCGCATCAGTTGGGAAAGTTGCAGCTCAGACTGCAAGAGTTGCTCGTGTAGCTGAAGTGGCTACTGGAGTTTTATCTGGACTGTTCATAGCTGTTGACGTCTTCTTTATTGCTCTCGACGCCAAAGAAATTCACGACCTCCGCCAAGATACAGCTTCAAGTGAGGCTCAACAAGAACCAGAAAATGCAGCATCAAATAGAGGTCAAAGCCCAGAGACAACTAATGACACGTCTGAACAGAGCAAGACAAAGAATCTGACAAACACAAAGAAAACAGAGCAAGAGCTGCGGACTGAGATCATGAAATTTGTAAAAACAATAAGGGAGACTGAGAAAGAGCTGAGCAACATTCTTGATGAATTAAGAGAAGAGCTGCAAGAACTACAACCAAAAATACCAAACTCATATGATGATGATGATGAGCTGATGATGATGATGAACAGGAGTCGCCTGTCCTTTCAGTAAAGGGTTACCATGTATCTTGGGCTTTTATTCTAGCCTTCTCGTAGATCAGATGTACTGCATAATACTAGCAATGGCAAGGTTGTGGGTTTGCTGTCCCGGAAAGCAAGAACTATTAAAATGTGTACTTTCGCTCCCTCACTATCTTTTGGCTTAGTCCCTGATTTATCAGGGGTTGCCACAGCGGAATGAAAGGTCAACTACTCTGGCATGTGTTTACACAGTAAATGCCCTTCCAGCTACAACCCAGCATCATACTGGGTAACATCTAAACACACACTCACAAGCTACAGCCAATTAAGTTCATCCAATTTACCTTTGCACATAATTTGGACTTGTTGGGGAAACCGGAGAACCCGGAGGAAACCAACGCCAACACAGGGAGAACATGCAAACTCCACACAGAAATGCTAACTGCCCAGTTGGGACTCAAAACAGTGACCTTTCTTGCTGTGAGGCGACAGTTCTATGTAAAAATATAAATTTAAATGTCTTTTTAAGACGAAAGTAGTTTGTAGTCACCACTTCTGAGGGAAAAACATTTCAAGAAGAAACAAAGCATTTCCAAAATCATTAAAATTTTGCTTAATCAACTTATAATATAATGTGATTACTATTTATGTTTTGATAACTAACAAAAAAAAATGGAGAATATATATATATATACACACACACACACACACACACATGTATGTATGTAACAAGTATGGCTAATCAGACACATAATTATTCTCCTTTTATTCAACAAATACACTGGCAACGTCTGCCCAGGAAAAGACTGGATGGTCAGTTGTAATCTGATTCCAAGGTATTTACGACACAAAGGAATGTGCTCACAGCATTGGACAGAGACACGGTCAAAACTTCTATAAGCTCTGGGCTTAAGACTGAGGCCGTACTCACACTATGTACAGTTGCCTCGAACCGGGCCAAAGCACGCTTGTCCCCTCTCCCGTCTCCCCCGACAGCCCGCACTCACACTAATCGGGCCTGGGCAAGCTTACGTCATCGCTGCTGCGCTGTTCAATGAGCGCTCTCGCTCAGCACAGCTGAGATTGCTCTTGTTATATCGTTTCAGTCATTTGTTATGCAGTGACATGCAGTCAAAAATTTCGCCAAACAGTCCTTATGGATGCGGTGACATGCAGTCAGATATTTCGCCGAACAGATCCGCCACTTTTGGCGCTCATAGACAATCATAAAGCCATCGTGCTGCAGGAATGAGGAGGTTTGCTGAAGGGCCGGCCAAGTTAACCGTGCTTGAGCCCGATTCACCGCACTTACACTTCTCAAACGATCCGGGAAATAGGCCTGAACACGGTACGGATGGCATAGTGTAAGTACGCCCTAATGTTGTAATGTAAACTTTTACTCTCTCTTTATGTATAATCAGGTGTTTTGCAACATTTCTCTTGCTTCTGCATTAATATTATGGTTTTAATTCTTCTGCAATCAATGTTTAACTTTGCATTGTGGGATGCAAAATATGTGTATTGCAATGGCATGAATCTTCAACCCAGTGCCTTAAATGTAGACAGGAATGCACCAATGTCTATGAAGTGACGGGCCTTTCCGATGCACTGTCTGTTCTGAAAGACATTATTTCTGTTGACTGAACAATTTGGTTCACAACTTTGGTTCCATTAAGTATTGAAATCGTGAGAGCAGCTTTTGCTGGTTGTTTGAGTGCTGTTCAGTGGATTCTGATTGTCCATTGTGTTCATGTGCTCAACAGATATAACAGTGACTGGCTACAGCAATTTTTGCTTCATGCTTCTCACTAGGTGCTTACACAGAAAACACAAAGTAATATATTGGTCTATTGGACACTCAAGGCTTTGAAAAATGTCTAATTGCTGAAATGTATAAAAATATGAGTGATTCACTAATAGATCAGCTGATAGATGTAGATTTTAAACAATACAGTTTGTATCTGTGTAAGCACTCAGTGAGCAGCAAGTAGCAATGATCATTGTAGCCAACCACAGTCATATCTGTTGAGTGCATGACCACAATGGTCAATCTGAATCCACTCACATGCATTGAAATAGAACATTTCACATTTTTAAAAAATTTCAATACAGAAAAGTACCCCCCCCCCCCTTTTTTTAACTTGTGGTTTATGCTGTGTATCTTCTTGTTGTGTTGATGAGATCCAGTAGAGCTTGTTTAAAGTATAAGAAGTCACCGTTTACGGCATTGTTATAACAAATAGAAATATCTGGGTACAGTTCAGCGTAGTGGTGTTCAACGCATTCTCTTTGTCTGCCTGAGGAAAAGGGATCTCTTCCAAAGATTGATTGTCTGGTAAGCGAAGGTCTCAGTTCTGTCTCATAAAGTTCAGCAGCTTCATCGGCATGTGGCAACAGTTCCTCCGAGATTTTATTTAGACACCCACCCTTTGCCAAAACATTGGGAATGCCTTTACCTAAAGTAAAAACTGTTAATAAGATTGTCAGTTCTTAATCTTTAATACTTAAATAAAACTGTGTTATTTCAGTATACCTGGAATCCTGTGTTCATTCCAAGCTTGTACAACTCTACTGATGCCTAGGTGACATAGCTGGCATGTGAAGCTGGAGATACAGTATCTGACAAGGTTGTCCTCCATATCCAACGATTCTTGGTCCACTAGCTCTACAAGTGCTGTTTTGAGTGGATAATTAACCCTATTATTTATCTCTGGCCACATCCTTTCAACTGTGTGGTTCTGTAATTGTGAAAACAAAAGAACAATAATGAAATACAGGATACACTATATAATGTGAACACATGAACAGCATGATCTACATTTGTAGTAATTCATTTTCCTTTAAAACGTCTTAGATTTATAAGCATGGTTTTGAAAGTTGTTACAATCATCAATGTGTATATGGTCTAGCACAGTTCTGAAGAATGAGTGAGTTAAATTTTTTAGGACTGACACATGCTATAAAACCCCCTTTTCACAAGATTCAAGTCATTGCCCAGGGATAACAATGTTGAGTTTTGAAAATTAATATGTATATTTAAACTGAGTTAATATGTGGACAGCACATAAAATTTGTGGAATATTTTCAAGGCAGCACAAATAATTAAATAAATAAACGTATCATCCTTATGATATCTTTTATTTGAAAAAAAATATTAACATTGGTGTATGTACATTTATAACTGCAACTTTGCCTTTTTATATGCGCCAGGAGCTGATTTTTTTATACTGAAACATTTTGCAAATCAACCTTGTGCTGTACCTTAGTTGATTGTGTTTGCATGTAGGGTTGTCTCTCTGGTCTGTTTCGGTAACTTTCAATCATTTCTTGAATGAACAAGGATAAGTAAAATTCCTTTCCATGATCCACTCTAATTTGGTCCCACATACCATGGTTAACAACGGCAGATCTGATAAATAATTATGATAATAATAATTAATATTATTACAGTAATAAATATTAATAAACTGCAAATTCATCTAAATAACTGACCTGTAAACATCCTCATAAATTAAAAGATTGTTCTTTATTGGCATAGATGAAAAAGAAACAATTTTGCTGCTAAATCCTTCAATCGCCAAGACATGTGTTGCTCCAAACATAGCCAATTTTTCATTTTGGTCCATGTGCAACTTATGTCCCATGCACTCTGCAGTATTAGGAACTGGATTCAGGTTACGTGCACCCTGAGCACACGAGTATGGATTAATATATTACATTATAACATATTCAAGACATGGTCACAAACACATATAGTAAAATGAGCTTAAACAACTCTATTGAGTAATAATGACTGCGTTATCCCACTTTATTGGACAGCTACCCAATATTTTTAACTGTAGCCTATTTATCAAACATGCACATACTTACATGACATCATGCTTCATGGTATGGTTGTTGAATTGTCCTCAACAATCGTCCCACTCTGCCCTCACCTGCTCGTATCCCAGTTGCTGACAGGTATCCTGTCATGAGTTTTCTGCCAAATGTTGGCCCTGTCTATCAGGACACAAAGGTTATATTTAATTAAATGTTTGTGTTGTTGGTACAGTAATTAGCTACCCAAACAATGAATTATAGACATTACCTCACTTATGGCATTAGCTATTGCCAGTTCTACGTGGGAGTCCGATGTATGTCCTCTTCTTACAATGTTGCGCTGTCCACAAAACCTTCGGATACTCATTTCAGAACAACCGCGACCAGCACCGTGTTGAACTAGCATGTCTGAGATCTCTGAAAATGTTGCTCCAGTTTGTATACTATTAGAAATAATTTGCGCAAATGGCTCAAGTGTGGACATGTTTCCCGAAGAAAAAGGCAGGCAATTAGACATAGCAGATTAGTTATAGGTATAATGAAATACAGCGAACTTAGGGTATTTATTGTTTTTGGTATAATTAGATTGAATAATACACTAACTATGATTAAACGAATATAGAAAAATAACAAACAAACCTTTTTTTTATTTTATTTGTGCGTTCAGTAACAATAAAACAGTGTTTTTCATTGTTTTGCTTTCAATGTTACTTTACAAAAACTTTTGTTTTCAATTAAGCATCTTTATTTAAATTTTGTTTTTCAATTTAAAATCAAAAATCGAATGAACGCAACGTACACAGACCTGACCAGATATCTTCTTATCCTTTTCCTAGGATGCAGGAAGGAAGCATTGCAAGCAGTTGGCCTTGTCTGTCTGAAAATTACAAGCAATAGCAGCACAATATGCATCATATCAGTGTTGTGTATTCCCAGTTGTGTGTTATGAGCGGCAGTGGGCATGCAAACTTTTGACATCACTGAAAATAATAGTGGCCCCCATAGTCTTAAAATATGTACAAAACAATGTGGATTTTTATTGGGGGTTTTTTCTACATATTTCATATATAAACATTAACATTACATCAAAATTACAGATCTTGATGTACACTGTTCTCTTAAAAAGCAAATAACTGTACTTAACTCAGTGAATTCAATGCAGTAACAAATTATTTGGTCCAAAACTATGTATTTGTTTCAATGAAAGATTTATATATCAAGAAAAACAAGG